ACCCGCCCCGGGGACAGCCGCCTTCCGCGGCCACCACCGCCCGCTGGACAACCGCTAACCCCCCCAGCCCTGCTCAACACCTACCCGGGACAAAGGAGCCGTCAAGGTTCAGCCAGACGAAAGGAACACAAGAGTCCAGCCAAGTAAAATAGGCAGGTGGAGTGTTTCAATTATATTTTACTCTTCATTAGATTGTTCGTTTTGAATGTTCATGTTACAAAATTAGCTGCCGTGGCCCACAAGGGTATGGGACTTCAGGAAAGCTGTCCACTTACTCAAAAGAGCACAAACTACTGTTTCCCTTCAAAGAACTTCGTGAAACAACACCGTAATCGTCTTTAAAGCTAAATAGTGCTAAAATTTCACATAATCTCCATTAGTTTTGGTTTTAAATAATTTTACCAACCATTATAAAATTAATGCATTTTTACATATCAGGTTACAGACATTTGCATTTCAATCAGTGTGAAGTATCCCATGCTGCAACAAGTTTAAGCAATTGCTGTTTCAACAGCAGCTCATTATTGCCTCAGAACCAAGTTTGCACAAAGTATTGAACAAGAAAATGCAAGACATTTTTCCCCACAAAACTGTTAAAAGGCTGTTACAAGCAACAATAAAATTCCTTCTAGACAGGAAGCATTTATAAAATGCAGAGAGCTCTCAGGTAGCAAAGTGTTTGCACAGGGCATTCACTTCATTCTCCTCATTTATTAAAAACCTGAAGTGATCATTCACCCCATGAAGAGGATGCATGTCCTCTGAGACATTTTGACTGGCTTGGGGAAATTGGCAATTGCAGATACTTCACAGAATGTAGCTTCTGGCTCAGGGGAACTAGGCAGCCGCTGCTGAGATAGGGAGAAAAGTTTTTGAGGCAAACTTGTACAGGTAAAATTATTACAGGAAAGCTAGTGGAAGCTGCTAACTCACCATGCACTCGCTCCTGGAGAAACATCACGCTGACATTACAGACTTCACATTGTTTTAAGCTTGCAAGGGTGTATTCCATTCCCTCGTATCTAACCCATCAGTATGTTTTACACCTAAGTCAATCGTGCCCACAGGTGACCAAACACTGTTTCAGTCTCTCATTTGTTAAAAAAAAAAAAAAAAGGAAATTAAAATTACTTCTATTCTACTGGGCTTTAATCCCTGAATAATCCATACTGTGTATGGAAGGCTCTAAGTTTTGTGCCTTTACAAGCCTGATGCAAATAAACGCACAGTAAATGTTTATTGTGCAGTTTTCCTCCCCTTAAGTTTTTTCCCCTCCCCTCCCTAAACTAAAACCAAAGTTTAAAACCAAAGCATGAACGTTACCCAGCACATGTGGACAGGTTTACAATCTTCTGGTTTTAAAGAACAAAATGACAAAGAGCATTCAAGAATATTGCATTATTTTTTTTTAAAACAGACAAGTAGCAAAAATTTATACCACCCGGAATAAAACTGCCCAGACAAAGCTCTCTACATACACCTGCATGTTGCTGTAATACTTAAGTAACACCAATGCAAGGAACATTTCTCTTAATGGCTACTAGTGTTCAAAGAAGCATAGGATTATGGAGTTCTGGAGGTCTTTGTACCCTTTGAATCAAAATTCTGCAGGTGGCACCAAGACACTTCTCACAATGGAGTCACATAGCTTTCACTTTGATTTGCTTCATCTTCATCTGCTTCTTCTCAAGTTTCTTCTGCTCACGCCGCAGCGCAGCCTCCTGCAGGCAAGGACAGAGAGAGCCAGTGAACGTGCTCCCAGAGCACACGGATCATTTCAGGAGAGGCCTCCAGTGCCTCCAGTGCTCGGCTTCACAGCGCCACCCACACGGGCTGGCCCCTCTCTGGGAGCCTTTGCACATCTCAGAAACACCCTGAACACTGCCTGCCCGCCTGCAGTAAGGGCTCAAAGCTGGGCACTGCTGGTGTGGGAGCCATCTGCCAGCAGGCTGTCACCCTCTGGAAAGCTGCCTCACCTCCAGCCGCCGCTGCTTCTCAGGATCCTCTTCGTTCATGATCCGCTCCTTCTCCGCCCGCTTCTTCTCCTCCCGACGGGACTGGGCAGCCTCCTGTCTCTGCACGTGAGTCAGCTTCAGGAAGTTCTCTTCCACGCGAGCCCTGTTCTTGTCAGCTTTTTGTTTACCCTTGTCACAGAGAGAAGCAAACGCAGGGAATGAGGATTTCCCCATGAGCAGGATAGAGCATCCCTGGTAGTCACGTTAGAAACATCAGGCTCCCCATTCCCCAGGAGCAGGATAGAGTCTCCCTGGTAGTCACGTTAGAAACATCAGGCTCCCCATTCCCCAGGAGCAGGATAGAGTCTCCCTGGTAGTCACGTTAGAAACATCAGGCTCCCCATTCCCCAGGAGCAGGATAGAGTCTCCCTGGTAGTCACATTAGAAACATCAGGCTCCCCAGTCAGGATCTTAAGATTAAGGACCCAACAGTAACAGTCGTGATCTCATACAATACTCAGAAAAACACACCCTACTTACTTCTCTGTTCAGACGGAACTTCTTTGCCTTGTCAATACAGTAGATAACCATGCTCATCAGAGGCAGCAAGGACTCCATGTCCTTTGGGGAAGTGTTGCCTAAACCAGGCACTGAAATAAAAGAGTTTCTTGTTAATTCAGAGAGGTTGGCAGGTTTTTTTTTTCCTAATTGCTGGAATGCTCCTTCCTTATTCCTCACACCATCTGTGAGTTCTTACGCTCCTCTTAAGGAAGGATGTAACTGAGTCAAAGAGGCATTTAGGTCTGGAGATCACACAGATTGCTCAGAGTGGCAGGCACATCTCCCACACACAGTCCTCCTGTGACATTTGCATGGGATACACATGTAAGGGTTGAATTCAGGCTCTGACACTGGCTTCACGTGGAGCTACAGCCTTGAACATTGAAGAGGACTATGGGTCTTTTCTAGGGTAGACTCCTAAGAGGTGGGTTTATTTCAAACCAGGGTCAACCAAATAACTGTGCAAGCCCAAACTGCAAGGCATGTGGCTAGAAAACAAATCATCTTCAATAGTGTCCTAATACACCCATCAGCAGAGATAGAGTATGAACTAAGGTCAACAATAGCAAGATGGACGAGTATCCTGTTATCACAACATGCTGCTCAGTCCTCAGTGTTATCACTGCCTCTATTTACTGGCTGATCAATCAACAGCCCTGTTACAAGCACTGAAGTTGTTTGTCATGTTTGTCAGTTGTCTGTTCAACAGAACCTGAGCATTTTGACTTTCACAGCCAAAGCACAGCACTCCCCCAGATACACAAGTACACGTGCACACCAGTTCTCTTACCATTAAATGTAAACAAAAGTGTCTTTTTAGTTTCGGGCAGTTTTGTAAGCTGACCCTCCCTGGAAGGAAAGACAAAAAGGGACTGAAATGAGCAGAGAACAACGCAGACATACAAAATACCTGACATTGTTCAGGAAAACCCTGTCAAGAACCAAAAGACACTTGTAAACTACTCAAATTAATCAAGATTAAAAGCCTGGCTATGACCCAAATTTAAGTTTCAAACTATTCAGATTCCTGAAGTGTTTTACTTAAAAGGATGCAGGGAAAAGGTATTAATGTTGAAAGATACTAACAGCACCCTCAGTCTGATTGTCAGGGGTCACCTGAGCCCCAGGAAGGCCCGTTTTAAATTACATTCCCTTTTCCATATGCCCTGTTGTTTATACCAGTACAGATTGTCTAAAAATACCAGTTTAGAAAACATTGGGGTTTGTTTTTCCTAAGAACTGAAGTCTGCACTGCCCCAAATCCTGCAGTATTCTCATGTAAAAGAGCCAGATCTACATTTCACAGATCCTCCAAAGCTCAGCAGCTTCAGTACACTGCAGACTTTGCTTAAACCTAGTTCTCAGTGCATTCAAATAGCAGCTGAGTCACCATGTTGAGTCCTCCTCTTGCAGTGCAACTTCTTGGCCTTTACACCCTTAAGATGCTGTACACATTCCGTGGGACTGCTGGGACCTTCTCCCTGCAGCTCTGCACTGTAGCTGGCCAGTGTCCTCTGGAAGGTGTAGCTGTGCCCCACTACACTGCAACCAGCACACAAAAATAAGTATTAAGGCAGTACAGCACCCTGATCTTCTGAACTACTGCAGCATTTGCAGGCAATGGCAGTGTAGTTATTCACCTGTTTCACCTTTGCTTCACATTTGTCTTTGTGTGCACTCCTGCAGGCTTCACACTGCAAACAAGTTTGTCAGCCTGTTTTGCTTAGTGTTATAATGGAATCATGGAATTGTTTTGGTTGGAAAAGATCTTTAAGATCGAGTCCAACCACTTACTCAACACTACCAAGCCCACCACTGACCCGTGTCCCTCAGCACCACATCCACACATCTTTGTAATGCCTCTGGATGGGGACTCCACTGCTGCCCTGGGCAGCCTGGCACAGCCCTGGACAACCCTTTCAGGGAAGAAGTTTTTCCTAATATCCAACCTAAACCTCCCCAGCACAACTTGAGGCCATTTCCTCTTGTCCTGTCCCTTGTTCCTTGGGAGCAGAGCCCGACCCCCCCCTGGCTCCAGGCTCCTGTCAGGAGCTGTGCAGAGCCAGAAGGTCTCCCCTGAGCCTCCTTTGCTCCAGGCTCAGCACCCTCAGGGCCCTCAGCTGCTCCTCATAAGACACAGGACTCACAACAGCTCCTGGAGGAGGGGTGCAGGTGCATACGTACTCTTGCATAAGTTTTGGACCGGAGAACTGGTCCGAGAATTGGACGGACTCAATCTTGTCAGCATAGTGTGTGAGGAAATGGATCATCTGGAAGAGAAAGCTGGGTTAGTTTTTCCCAACACCCATCCATCTGCAGCCTTCCTGCTCCATATGGCTTTGCCAAAGTCTCCATGCATCACTCAGAAAATTGCTGTGCTCAGCTTGCCACAATGACACTGCAGTTTACACCCTCAAACTGCTTTTAGCTTTTGCTAGAATGGGCCTCAATGCACGGAATGAATGTGAGCAACTAAGATATCAGAGACCTGGTTCTCACTTGGGATCCTTCCAGTTCATTTGATAACGTCAGCTCTGAGGACCTGCAGACAGCACCAACAACCTCCTGTAAACTGGCTGCTGGAGCTGAGTTCTGGGCTTTGAAAGGCAGTTCAAGTTGGACTAACAGTTGCTGTGTAAAGGGACTAAAGACATGAGAACTGCCCCCCTCTTCCAGCCCTTAAGCTTCCTTAGGGTCTTGATTTCTCTAGCTCTCACTAGGGCTGTTTCTCTCTCCTGTTGTGATGTTTACAGGAGATAAAGATTAGGACTTTTCTGCATGGGCTGGAAGTGCCAGGGTTACTTAAGAAGACTTGTTCCAATTTGTTCAAGATTACCTTAGCATCCATCATTCCCTCTGTGACTTCCCCCATCTCTGACAAGATGGCCAGTGAATCTGGAAGCCCATATTTTGCACCAGACTTCGGTTTATCACTGCAGAACTCGCTCTGGTTCAAAGAGGACAAAGGGGAAAGAAGTTAAACACAAACTGCCAAGTACCTTGTCAGACCAAACTGTTCCAGCCCAGTGGAAGCCTTAAAAGTAACTGAAAAGAAACCATACAAAATACACTGACTCACAGTCTGGCTGGGGATATTTCAAAGAAAAGCACATGGTATCAATAGTCTTTAAGTTAGTATTTCCCTTCAATAGTCAGTATTTTAAGGAAAAAAAGACAATTCTAATATATTCATGCTGGAATGCTTGAAGTGGATTGAAGCATTTTCCTTATGTTGTTTGATAACAGAGCAAAACCAACTGGCATCCTGCCACCAACATTCCCACACTGTTACTTGAGACAAGTTACCAGAGAAAAGATGCACAAACCACTGCTTATTATCACTGGATCCTTTGCAAGCTTCAAGGCTTGAAAGTATGGGAAGCTTTACTTGCAGATCAACAAAATCAGATGACTTAGACCCAAACTTCCCACATCACGTATCACTCATTACTTTTCAATCCTTGAAAAAGTCCTTTGTGCAAATTAAATGAGGTGAAGTGACACGTGTGTATCCTGACAGTAAACTTCAGCTTCCTCCTAGTTATACTACACACCAGAAGGAAGGTGTAAGCTGCTGTGGCTGGCCTCCTCTGTGGCAGTTCTGCCAGCAGCTGGCTGGCACTGCAGACCTCTGATGGATGTCATGGCATCAGACTTTCCTCTGTTAGATGAAAATGGCTTTTTCCCCAGGCACTAATTCCAGCAGGTCAGTCACAAGTTTTCAGCTGTTCCCAAGAAAATAAGCCCCCTACACGAGAGGTTCCTCTGTGCTGTTACTCCTCACAGCAGTGCCCCCCAGGTGCACATACATACCAGGTCCTGCATCTCCTTCTGCAGCCTCACCAGTGCCTTCCTGGTGCCGACAGCGAACACGTACGTGTCCATGTCTTCGTCGTTCATCGTTACTTTTATTTGCTGTGGGGCAGAATGGCATTAGCCCTGATTAGGTTTGTATGATCCATACTCTGCCTTCAGATTACCAACCAAACGGAGACCTGTGTCTTCTGCGACTTAGAATCATGGAATCATTAAGGTTGGAAAAGACCTCTAAGATCATGAAGTCCAACCATCAACCCAACACTCCCATGACCACTAAATCATGCCCCAAAGTGCCACCTCTATATGTTTTGTTGAACCCCTCCAGGGCTGGGGACTCCCCCACCTCCCTGGGCAGCCTGGGCCAAGGCCTCACCACTCTGCCAGGAGAGAAATTCTTCCTAAGATTCAACTGAAACCTCCCCTGGGGCAACTTCAGCCAATTGCCTCTTGTCCTATCGCTGAGAAAAGACCAACCCCCACCTCACTCCAACCTCCAGTCAGGGAACTGTAAAGAGCCAGAAGGTCTCCCCTGAGCCTCCTCTTCTCCAGAGTAAACAACCCTAGGTCCCTCATAAGGGGGATCCTTATAAGATCCTCATAAGACATGTTCCCTCCTCAGACTTCAGTGTTCATCTGATACTTTTGATTCGTAAGATTGAAGACTAAGCGAGGCCATACACAGCTAAATTTTTTGATTTAAAGCTTTTCAGTGTGTTCCAATGCAAAGCAGCTTTTTGATTAGCTAGAGCACTCCATTCAGTACTCTGGTACAATGCTGCAGTGTAACAGTGGCAAGAACAGCAGAGTTGTGAGACTCATTTGCTGTGCCAATATCCATTGCTTACGAGTCCATATATCTATTAAAAATATGTAGATAAGTAAGTAGAATTACAGATACAATGGAAACAGTGTTCACAGTGCACTCAGCCACTGTTCGTCCAAATGTAACCTCTCCCTGTTTATGCAGTTAGAGATTACCAGGAGCAAGGGGTGAGGCAGAAAATGTGACAGGATCTAACGTCCCGGCCAGAGCAGGCATTAATCGACAATGTTCAAGCAGACTGAGCAGACAGAACAACCACCCTCACATATTTCAGATCCTAGAACCACTCTTTATCAAGCTGAGGACTGTTCACAAGCCCACTTGAACAATAAAGCTCACAGATAAAACAATTTCCAGCCACATTTCACAGGCAGAAATGACATCATTCTTTCAGACTGTTTTGACAGTTACTGAACTGGAAGACAGTGCAATACTAGAGGCAGACACCCAGCAGATCACTTGGGTGTGTTAAAAGCAGCTCAGAGCAGCCAAGCAGAACCAAAGGAGCACAACAGTTACCACAGCTAATCCAGAGGGACGAGTACATACCACTTGGTCAGAAGCTGGTCTCATCATGCGTGCGAGGACGTTCAGGAGGTCTTGTCTCTTGAGAAACTAAAAACAGAAGTTTGTAAACACAGCAGCAGACAGCTGAACATACACAGTGCAGCACTTTGTTGGCAGGTAGCAGTGGGGCTTGAGGAAATACAGGACAGTTAGAAATAGATGTTTTTCGTAGAGCAATTCAGCTCAGAAAGGCCCTTTGGAAGTCACCTACACTGCTCCAAAGCAGGGCTACTTCCTGCATTGGGCAAGTTTGTCAGGGCCTTGTTCCCTCAAGTTAGGAGCTGAACCAGCTTGTGGGGCTGTTCCATACCAAGTGCAGGACTTCGTGTCTTTGTTGTACTTCCTTGGAATCCCTGTTGGTCCATTCCTCTACCAGACAAAAGTCCCTCTAAATGGCAGCTGGGCTCTCCAGCCTCTACACTACACTTCTGGTTTCTGCTCTTTCTGTAAGCATTCACCCTCACCTACTTTGGGGGGGGTGAATACAGGCTGATACAGACTTTAGTCCAACTAGTCTTCCCTTCATGTCTGCCTCTCCAGAACACTGTATCTCAACGTGAGCCAAAGAGTCAAGCTGGGACTCCTAGTTGCTCACAGTGGAATGAAACAGACTCCCTTGTCCTTACCTTAAGCTGGATGAGCATTCCTTCACAGCACACCCTCCCCGAGCACCACAAGTTATAGATGTGTTCATTTTCTTGATTTAGTTTCCCAGTGCTTGTAGCTTCTTTATTAGTGCCATCGTCCCCTGATGAAAACAACAGTGGAAGAGAACTGCAATCTAAAAATCACTGATTTAAACAATCACTAATTTAAAGTTCATCAGTAGGTCAGTTGTTGCTGGATTACTCCACCATCACCAAGCTTCTGAAGAATTTATACACCACCATAACCTCATTTCAGCACAGGCAGACCGGCCCTGTTTGTCCACACACTGAGCTTCTCACTAGTGCTACCACACACCCACCTAAAGGTTTCTCTTCCCTACAGCCTGGTCCAAAACCAGCTTTATTCAAATAAACTAAAACAGATCCTAGGCACGACACAACTCACCAACAAGAGCGAAGTTACTCTCTAGCAGCTCCCTGTGAGTGTTGAACCAGGCATGGGCCAGGCGGTTGTTCTTGTTCTTGCCGATGATGTAATTCATGATGTAAGCCAGCAGCCCCGTCACCATCAGGATCTCCATGTAGTAGCTCTCCCAGCTGTTCTGGAGGTGAGCAGGGACCTGTGGGAAGCCAGCAGAGACTGCCTTACATGCTGAGCGAGCAGGTTCTGTCCACACCAACAATCTGGACAACAGAGTGCTGAAGAAGCTTCATCCAAACGCAGCAATAAGCTTTACAAAGGCAGCAGGACAGAGCTAAGCCTCCCTAATGCATTTGGCTCTGCTGGCACACAGTAACTGTGCAGGAAACGACTGAGAATAGCATCCCCAAAATACCTGGCTACTGCAAATGAAACACTTCTCTCTTCCAGGTGAGCCTGTGCTAGCACATATCCCTCAGAGTACCTACAGCCTGTCAATTCAATGCACTGATTGAGCTTGCTGCCCTGCCCATCACAGCATTCTCTGATCATTGTTCTGGTGAAATCTAAAGTAATCCCCAGTGGCATTTTCAGAATGCTGCCAATTGCCACTGATTGCAGGGGGAGCAGGGAAGCCTGACCTTGCCATCTTCAGAGAATGATTAGCTGTTCTACTACCACTCTATCACTCTTCAGCCACAAAAGTACCCAAACCTTAAACTTTCACTGCCAAGGTCAGCTGTAATACTTAAAAAGAGATCCTAAGGATAATAAAAATACAAACCTCAAGGACCTGATCATTTCTTGGGAGGTAAGAAGGTGATGAAGGGTGGACAGCGAGATTGGCTTCAAAACCCATCATCAGTCAATGTCTGGTCTGAAACTTTAGCCGTAGACAAGCTAAAAATACCCTGGTTTATAGGAAGCATGTCAGCACTGCAACCTCTCCTTTTTGTGTTGACAAAGCACCCAGACACAGAATGTCTGGGTGCATGTCTGTTTTTTCTCTGCATTAACTGAAGGTCATTATTCCAGGTCCTCCACTTCCCCCCCACAGTCATATGGGTAAAAGAATCCAAGTCATAAAATGCTTTGGTCCATGCTGTGTTTTAAAAGGTCTGTTTCAATGATGAATTCCCTGATCTTTACTCCACTTGCAGTTCTCAGTTTGAATACAGAATACAGCATTGTTCCAAGGATGGGAGTTCTGGCAGCTTAAAATAGAGACTAGCAGACCAAAGGTGCCTGCTCTGGAGGTTTTACTTCAAGAGCTGATACATAAAGTAGCCTAGATCAATACAGAAGAGCATGGAGTTGGGAGCTGGCACACCTGGATCACATTCTGCTCCTATCCCATTGCATTATTTCAGGTATTTCTTGTCTCCACACTTTTCCCCCATTTCCACACCATCTCTTATTAATTCAAACAGCAAATTCTTCAGGTCAGGTTCTCTCTTAGGTGTATGTTTGTACACCAAAGACATTATTGGCATACTGCCCTAAAAAAAGTGATGAAACAGCACATAGAAAGCAGATCAGCATTTATACCTACATTAACTATTGTTATGGGGTCTTTATTTTTGCTATGGGACGCGTCTGGTTTCTCTTCATAGCCTTCAAACTCTTCATCATCATAGGGCTCACTCTCAGTATCACCCTCCTAAAGGACAGAATCAAAAACAACATGAAAACTCAAAACCTGATAAGCAAAACCCAAAAACATAAGGCAAGCAAAAAGAAAGGTGTAAAGATACTACTAGGAAACACAGAGAGGAAGGAGATGAGGCATTACCTGTGTATCTGTGTCATCAAAGTCTTCCTGATTCTCATCCTGACCTTCAAGCTCTACAGTGGCTTCTTCTTCATCATCTTCTGTAGTGATGATCCTCTGAGGGGACTCCGTGACTGCATCTTCATTAACATCTTCAAATTCAGCAAAGTCATTGTCATCATATTCCATAATGTCATCTCCATCCTCAAATTCATCGTACTTGGCCAACGAAAAACTCCATGGGATGAACAGGACAGCAACAAAAATATATAAATTCTTCATTTTCACTGAAAAAAAAGAAAAAGATAATTAAAGTCAAATACTGCAAAAAAATCCTTGTCAATTCTATTGCATCAATCCTCCAGGAACACCCATCTTCAGGGAACAACTTAAGAACACAGTCAGGGACAGACCAGAGAGAAAAAGAAACCCCTGTGTGATCTTCTCTGTAAAGGGAAGGAATACCCTTACAAGAGGAAATAACTCAGCAGAAGAGGTTCTAGACTTGCTTGTAGCACAGCAGCCAAAGCAGCAGCAAGTTCACACCTGCCCAAGCTGCTCAGATGAGCAAGTTCTGGAAGCAGAAATCTTCCTTCCCCTACGAACTGACTCTCCCACAGCACCTCCCAGTCAGTCAGCACTGCCAGCTCCTTTCAAAGCCCACACATTGTGGCTACAGTTGTTATTAATTAGCAATTAGACACAGATCAACAGGAGTAAATCATAAAGTGCACTTAATTCATTTGGTTCCAAGATAGCCCATGCTAGCTGAGCAGCGCTGCCCTTTGATGTGGGGCCCACAGCATCCCCACACTGATTCCATTCAAAGACACCTCCTGTTGGAAACTCTACAAAAGACAAGTGGGAAGAGGATGGGTACTGCACCAGCCCCCAAATCAAGAGTAAATTTGGGCTCATGAGACCATGGCTCTCTTCCCAAATCTGCCAGAAACCTGCAGAGTTTGTCAGTTCACCTTTTTTTGCCCTCAGCTTCCTACTTCTTTTCTGCTGGATCTCCAAACAGCCCCAGTCTCCCACCCAGACTATGGGACCCTCACCAGGGTGCCAAGCCAGGGCCTGCAAAGGCAGCAACAACCCCACCACTGCGGGGGTCAGCTGCACCAGGCTCAGCAGCAAGGCTCACTTTACTCCCCCCCGCAACCAGATCCGAGTGGGAACTCGAATGTTAACGAGAGCGTTCTCTTCCAAACCCAAAATAGAAGCGATTAGTTTCTAAAATAGAGCAGCACTCCCCCAAGTGCCACGCGCAGGGAACCCACTGCTACGAATGATGGGGACGGATAAAACCAACACCTTTCTCAAAGGCTTCTAGCAAAAACCTGGACAGAAAGTGTTCATGAGAACATTAATCAAGATGGAAAGTACAGTGAGGCAGAGCCCATGAATTTCACACAGTGTTTGGGTACGTCACAATTTTATGTAAGTTTAAACAGAAAAACAAAGCACTCTTTACAGAAGAGAATTTTCAGCCAGGCGTTAAAGGCACCACCAGGAAAACAGAGCCACCTGCTCACCCAACCCCCAGCAGTTTCAGTCAGAAATTCGAGACTATTCGAGTATATCCACTTTCAAAAGACTCCGTAAAGCTTTATGTAAAATAAACTTAACACTAAACAGTTTAGCTAGAGCCAGAGAAACACCCTCAGGCACGCCGAACTCAGCCGCCTGTCAGAAGGGAGAACGGGTTCCGAGTCCAAACAACCCCACGCCGCAGGATCGGCTTGGGGAGGCCCCC